TAAATAAAACACGCCCCCTGCCCCCGCCCCCACTGTGATATTAGTAATTTCACATATAAAACATAAACTAAAAACAACAAAAATATTTAAAAATTCTTAAAGTGCAATACAACAAAAATATTAAAGAAAATTTGTAGCCACAAACAAAGAAAAGCGTTTACTTTACAACAAAACAATATTAAGAATATTCTAAAAAGTTGCTGCAACAATTGTATTTGGCTAATACACACACACACACACACGCACACACAACTGGCTATGCAGTAGTTGGGCGTGTGTGTGCGTGTTGCTCGTGCTGCATTTAAAATAACATTCAACGACAAACAATCAACATTAAACATTAAACATTGAAGAATAAACAATAAACCGAGTTTTGGTGGCAGGCGCTCAGACGTTTTTTAATTATGTATACGCAACGTATGTTTGACATGTGGAGCAGCGTCACTTCGAAACTGGAAGCACACGCCAACAACCTCGGTCAAAGCAACGTCCAATCGCCGGCGGGACAAAACAATTCAAGCGGTTCAATCAAAGGTAACCACGCGCCACATACCCTACAATATCTAGCCTCTATATGCAATTTTAAGCAGGTTTTACAAAACGATTCTCTCATTGAATATTGCCGGGGATTTGGCCAGGTTTTGTTGAAATATGTGAACTCAATATTTAGTAGTGGCACATATGTGGGCTCAAGTCGCGAAAAAAACCAAATATAAAAAGTAAAAGAATCAACATCTTTTTAAAATAATTTTGAACATTTTTCATAAATATTTTAAAACCATTTAAAAATTGTCTTAGAAATATACATATATATTTTTTTTAAGAGATTTAAAAAATAATCTTCAAAAATCTTGAATGTGTTTTTTTTATATATTTTTAAAAAAGATTTCAAAAAATTTGCATGGGCATCTCAAGTTACCAAAAATCCAAGTTTTTAGACTTAAAGCACGAAAAAAGAAGCCCCAATTTTTACCAGAAAGCTTTTTTGTCGATTACAAAAATATTTTATTAATATATTGGGGAGATTTTGAACATTTATATATATTCATTCGTTCCCGATAATCGATAATTGTCTCCGCTTTCATGCAATCGATAACAATCGATATCGAATTTCGGGATTTTTTGGCCTTTAAGAGAGTCATCAAATTGTAAAGATTATAAAGCTCTAGTATAAATCTTTGCTAAGTCATGATTATGTAGCTCGAGTTGCCTCAGCTTTTGGTAGAAGTAGGTGCAGGGTATTTGCTAGTCTACTATATCACACTTACATGCTTGTAAGCTTGCAATTTTGGGGCTCACCTGAGCGTTCGCTAAGTACTCGCTCGCTTTGTGATTGAACAAGTTGCATATAAATCAGATATACTTATATGATCGGCTATATTCATACAGTTAGGCACGTTCTGGCCTTTTTTTTAAGAACTGTTAACTATTTGAAATTATTTATTCTCAACGGAACTGAGGGCTAAGCAGCTAGGTCCCAAATGACAAATACAACATTTTTTTTTTACAGGAAACTCAACTTTCTGCAGATACCCCTTAAATGCTTAGAACTTCTTAAGGTCTCTCTATGCTACTGCAAGCTCAATTTGTTTCCGAATATATTGAAAAATCTTAACTATCCTATATAGACGCTATAAATATATTCAAGTAAAGGCTGAAGATATTCATAGAAGGCAAATGAAGAAGAGTCTTGGTAAATATTTAGTCTGTACATGTAATTTGTTAAATAACTTAACGCATCAGCAAGCATTGTTAACTTTTCAAATGATAATAAAACTTTCGGTAAAGAGTAGTAGAAATTGTATGATTGAAACCAACATGCCCTGTAATCTTAATGCACAACTTCACAACTCAAATGGAAATGCAAAATAAACTATATGAGTCAGCCATAGATTATCACTTAATAATTATAGGGTATTAGATGAACTCGACAACTCTAACTCTTAGAGCTGGGCAATTTGGTATGCGACTTCTCAGCAGCTTAAACCAGTTGAGAATTATTTCGCAGGCCAAATAGTGAACTTAAACCAATTGCAGTCGCTAGACTTGAATAATATAATTTCGATATGCCGTTTCGGTTTTTGTGTGTTAGTTAGTCAGTCGGTTAGCTGGTCGCTGGTTCGGTTCGTTTTTGGTTTGTTTTACTTTGGTTTGGTTTGGTTTGGTCAGCGGCGATATAAATTAAGCTGCTGCCGCGTCCGCTGTTGGCAGTGAAAGTCACTTGAGAGTTGAGTTTCTCAAGCGGAATTATTGTAGGGAAATCCATGAAATTCGTAAATGAATAAAGACGCAACACATTACGAAACTCTCTCTCTCTCTCTCTCTCCCTCTCTCTCTCTCTCGCTCACTCGTTTGCATTAACAATTAAACTAATTCGACATGGCAATCAGTTTGCTGACTATTTACCTTCAATAAGCCTCCAATCGAAAGAGAGACCCTTTTCTCATAGCTGACTCACAGATACGCACACACACACACACACACACACAGCTGTATATAGGTGCAAATACACACACACACACGAAGGCACTTGCAAATTAAAATTCGCGCGCCAGCAATAAAAAGCGATATTGTAATGCCAACAAAAAGAAAGAAAATATTGTTTATTTTTTATTTTTTTGGCTGCACATAAAAATTTATATAAATATATGAATTGCAGTACACACACACGCACACACACACACACACCCAATTGTTGGCAATTTTTCTTTTCATTTTGACGGTTTTTTCTTTATTTTTTTTTTATTGTATTTTACACGATGCTTTCGATTGCGTTGGCAAATTGAGTTTATTTTTGGCTCAATGCATTTGCCATATCTTCATTATTTTATTTATATATGTATATGCTCTATATATACATATATTATTAAACATATATATTAATAACAATTGCTGCAACTATTGCACACAAATCGCAGCACTGCCACCCCGCCCCGCCCCGTCTCGCTTCCAGTCTCTTATCAGCCGAGTTTTGCGTTCTTTGACCTCACGACGGGGTCAGCGGCCCAAAATGAATAATGAGCATTTGTCAGGCTTTTCGGTTTTTGTTGGTTAATGCGTACGATTTTAGTTCTTTTGCTTGTTTGAAGAGGGGCTGCGGTGTAGGGCGGGTTGGGGTATATCAACGCCAGGACGCCCGTCATAAATCTTAATTGCCAGACCGCAAACGCCGTGTTTTTAGCGAGAGTGAGAAACCTTTAGCTGGGGAAATGGCCAAGAAATGACCATTTCAACCCCAACCACCCGCACCCGCACCCCCATCAGATAACCCATGACCCCAAGTCCGTGTTAATCAAAGCGAAAATGTTGCGTGCTCTGACCCCAAGCCCTATTATTAGACTTTTGATGTTCTTATTTAAGCGTAGTCCAACTATATGCGGAAAACAGGTTCCATAAAACCAACAATATACAATTGGGTCTTAAAGAGCTCAGAAAGTACATGCAACATATTTAGAGAACATTTTAGAAATTCCTAAACTTACCGAATATATTATTCAACTTTTTCCAAGTCTCAGCTTCATATGACATAACACCTTTAAGATAAGAAAATTGATGATGCAGATTAGTTGAAATATTAAAATAAAATGCAGGCAAGACAGAGCCTCTCTGGATTATATATTCTATATCTACTCAAGGATTATCTTCAAAAATGTTTCATATATATCGTTTATTAAGAATAATTTAACTAAATTAGTTGAAGTCTTAAATAAATTAATAAAAAAAAATTTATTAGTATTTTTATATTTCCGTAAATATTCATCTATTAAATGAATAATATATATACAGAATATACCTGAATAGATTCCTTATTATCTGAAGAGCTAATGCAAAAGATTTCCATAAGAAAGTGCAGCTTTTCTTCTGCTTTGTTTTTCAATTCCCCCACACCCAACCCAACCCCCCCACCTTCCAACTTCTCAAATAAAAAAGTAAAGTCGAGCAATTAAAAGCCACGAAAAGCAGGCACTTTAACTGTATTTAGCTGCTGCGTACGTTGCGTGTGCACAAGAGTTGAGAGTGGGCGGGGCGGGGCGGGCAGCTAGGGCGGGGGCAGCGGATGGGATTGTGACCCAAGCTGCGGCCGCAAAACTCAACGAAATATGCATGCAATTTGCCTTTATGACTTCCGCGACAGCAAACGCAACAACAACAACAACAACAACAGCGACAACAACAACAACAGCAAGAAAACGTTGGCAACTTTGTTTTATTGAAATTTTCACTTTGAGTTGTCTTGAGTTTTACCAAAAAGGCAACAGGCAACTCGCAGCTCGGCATTTGGCACTCGGTACTTCATAAAAATACAAAAGCAACAACAACAACAACAACACAGAAAAAAAGAAGAGTGCGACGACAATAAAATGTGAAACAGAAACAGAAAACAGATAGTACGGTACAAAGTGAAAGAAATGCGGCGTAAACAGAAAGCGGCCAAAAAATTAACAACAACACCAAAAAAAAAAAAAAATAAGGAAAGAGCAGAAAAAAAGCGAAAGACTCGTTGTTGAAAGTGGCTGGCGATCGTACCGTACCGCCCGCTCGCGCCCCTTGCCCAGCATGCGCACGGGCAGGCCCTTGCAGCGGAAAAAAATTAAAAGAGCGCACGAAAAAAAAAAAAAAAGTTGTCGTTCAACGTTTTCGTTGTTGTTGTTGCTGCTGCTGCTGCTGCTGAGTGAAATGGCTGCGCTGCGTTTGCTGATTGTGTAGTCTAGGCACACACACACACACATGCACACAGACACACATGCACACGCGTACAGAGCTTGCAGGTCGCTGCCTGCTCGCCAGCCGCCACCCACCTCCCCGCACATTCATAAAATGTACGCGCGATAGTGCGAACGCCGCCACGCTCTAAACTATAAGGCAGCGCATTATAGCTGTATCTGCCGCTCTCTTCGTTGAGTTTTTGTGTGAGCGCGAGCTTCGTCAAAAGGCTGGCAAGCAACGGCACAATCATCATCAACGTCAACATAGTAAAAGTCTAAAATCGACAAAAAATTTAATTTTCGGCGGTCATTCACCCGAAAAGATCCCACACGCACATAGGCCCAAGCACACACACTCACGCACACATAAATGAGCAGACAAGAAAGCACAAAGAGAGTGCGAGAGAGGGAGTGCGTGAGTTGCGTGCGTGCGTGCGTGCCTGCATGCATGTGTGTGTGTGTGTGTGAGCGTCTCTCGTTGTTATGCGGGAGCGTTGACGCGTCGACGTCATCGCAACGCACATTACAACATGCTAGTGGACAGCCTGGCCGCCGAAAGTGGTGGGTGGGGCGCGCGGCTTGGCAGCACTCGAATTCGCTTTCACACACACGCACACTCATACAGCGCGATGCTTTCTATGGCTTGGCGACGCCTCCGCCTGCGCCTCCAGCAGCAGCGACGGCAGCGACGGCAGCAGCGGCAGCGACGGCAGCTCAAATTATTATTTACGCATAAATTTTATAGACAGCGAGTGAAAGAGCTTCGCTGCTTCAAGACAAAGAGCGAGAGTGACAGAGATGGCGAGAGCGAGAGTTGCGTTAGTTTTG